CTGTATCTAACTGTCCAGGCTCAGCAGTAGCACATGTGTGAGAGCAGGCACTTGTGCTTTGGGAGAAAAGGGAGGGAGCATCAAAAACACCTGCAAAGGAAAATATAGAAGCAGATTTTGTGAAAATTGTGTTACAAAACATACATCAATATAGTCCATCACAGTAAGAATGTCCTGTTTCTAACACAGAGCACAAACAACACCAGTTTATTCCACAAAAGTCAGGTTATGGATGAAATAGCATGATCAAGCAGAGTGCATGCAGAGGACACAGAGAGGAGGAGCAGGCAGTCAGGGACTTCCCCAGATTCAGGTGCAGAAGGAAAGAGAGCCAAGAGATGATGTGAAGCCAAGAAACAGAGCAATAAAAGGAGGTGAAAGTCAGTCGTTACATGGTTTTCATGTCTCTGTTCTGGTAACAGAATGGGACTCTATTTTGCACCGATCTCTGACACACTCTGGTGGAACTTTTATATTCTAATTGGTGTCTGTTTTTGTTGATAATAAAAATGTTGGTAAAAGTTCAAGCTTTCTTATCTGGCCCAAGTCTTGAATTTTTTACACGACACTTGATTGGTGTTGACAACATGTAATATATCACCTGAATATAGTCTTCAGTAAAAACAGTATTTATTTAATACAGGGTTATTAATTATACTACTATTATTAATATTAGGGAGGGGTTTATCCAAGCCTGTGTTTATAAAACCCAGGGTGACCAACAGGCCCACCGTCGGGGGGGTCAAAGGGTACAGATTACCCCGGCCGGTCTATGGTTAACCCTTAAATGGGATGAAGTTAGACACTTTACTTACTGTCTTTTATAAATAACAAACAACTTTTTAGATGTATTTACATGATAAATAAATGTATTATTATCATTAAAACATATTTCACTTGTCATCTGATCTGCTCCCCGCTGTTATTGTGAAAATGGTGATGACAGAAAATGACATTTGACCATTCAGATGTGCAGGACCTGCAAATGTAAAGCGAGTCTGTTTAAGTGAACACTGCAGGCTTTCAGGGACCCACAAAAGAGCAGCCTAAACAGACAGAGAAGAATAAAATCATAGGGAATCAATGGCACCATGTCTGACAGCTGGAGGTGAGGAGCTAACAGGCAGACTAGCAAAACCTTTAAATAATGTAACACCAGAGCTGCAACTCTCAGGCGCTGAGCGTGGCACACACGCAGTTGACAATGTTCACACGTTCTCACGCTACACATCGAGTTTCTCACGCAGTGAAAAACAAATGTATAATGTGAGTTGCGGTAAATAACTGAAAGACTTTTGCAAATAATCTGAGGCGCAGACCGGCTCTGTTTGGGACTGTGAGCTGAACTTTATCTGAGGTGCTGAAGTGAACATTTGTGTGGATTTGTGGTGATATTTCTGTCTGATCAAAAGTGTAGTTTGGTAAGTTTAGTTTATCCACCTCCTCCTCTCATCCAGTAGTGCCTACAGTCCCAAACGGTTCTGTGTCTGCAGACGGTCTGCAGGGGCCAAATCAGCAGAGCAACATCGCAGGCTCATGCACAGCACAGTATAGGGCAGGTAGACTGTTTAAAAACGTTATGAATTCTCATAAAGGATGACGTTATTCCCGTAATATTATCACTTTTCCTGTCAGAGAGCACAGATTTGTGAGATTCTGAATGTGCAGAAAGTTTTGAATATGAGCAGAAACCTGCAGAAACACACGAGTTAAAGTGCAGGATTTTCTAACTGAATTAAAATAATTTAATATCACTGAGGTGAGTAAAGGTGCCACAGTCACATTTAAAGAGGTTACTTCCCCAAACAAAGAAAAAACATGAGGAAATATTTTGAATGCACATTTAATGTGTATTCAGATATGAATATATTAATTTGTTAAGTTCTGTGTGCGCAGCATGGAGGGACTACAAGCTTTTGTTTATATACATAGTTATATATAATATTAGTGGGATTCAAGGCAGTTTACGGGGATGAAAGTCCTGCTTTTTATGCAGTGGTATTACTTGTCAAATCATAAAGGAAGTTAGTGGTATCGCACAAAACTATTGTGAATTTATACAGATTCTTACCTCTTATCATATCTATAATACTAATACACTGTTTGATTGTTGTGTTTGCCTTTTGATTTACAGCACAAAAAGGGTGAGAAGGAGAGAGCAAGAACCAGGTGAGGAAATGGAAAGGTAGTCAAGACCAAAGTTGTAATGCCAGCTACTGTTTTAATATCATAAATACTCTGTTTGCAGGGGGTTAAGCACGTTTGCAAGGCACTGTAAGCAGGTCACATTCTCAGAGGCTGAGCCCCCTAAAGGTCTGATTGAATCCCTCTACTTATTACATTATCCCTGTTAAGCCTAGTTCACACTACACGATTTTTAGCCTGATTTGCTCCTGGCAACCTCGGCGACCGTCAGGCTGTCATGGGGAGTAAATCAGCATTTGATCGTGTGAAATACATAACAACGCACATTTCCCCGACACATTTCTGACACTTCCCCGACGTCTGCCAGATATCTTGTGCTTGTTTTGGCCAGCCAGACTAGTTACTTTGTTTGAGTTGATAATTGACTTTTTTCATTGTTTATTTAATAAACTCCTTGAGTATAATTAAATTATAGTTAATAGTGTCTGTATATAGTATATTTTAAGTCTTATATGCAGTTTCTATTTACAGCATAACTTAGGTGCGATTAATTAAATAGTTTTATGTGATTTTATTCTACCTGTTTTCCTATTTTAAAGCAAAACTTGTACATATGATATATTACTATATTACATTATAACTACACATTGTTAACAATGTTGAAAACTTAGTACTTAATACTTAACACTTTAGTTGCTGCCATATCACCAAATAATGATCACTGACATTTCTGCTCTCTAACATGTATTTGATCTGTTGATGGTATCTGGCTGAATTCAGTCTTTGTATTCATGTTATTCACTGTATAACTTGCTGCTGCTTTTAAAAGCACCGGAAATATTTTTTAAACTAATCTTTGAGACAACGTGGAGACAAACATTCACACATTAAGTAGATTTTTACTTACAGAGCAGCCACAGTAAAGATGATCCCTCCATTTTATATATTGGTTATCTGAGATCTGCACATTAACTGTTACCAGTCACACCAAGTAAAACCCTCCTCCTTCCTCTTTGTGTATCACTGGAACTGTTGTGGTTTTCTCTCATGCAGTTTGCAGGACATAAGCTTTATGTTTAGTGTCTTTGGGTCTCAAAGTGAACAAAATGACTGACAGGCTGTGCACAACTGTCATCATTAACAGCCAGATCACATTGCAGTGGGGCTCACGTGGACAGGTAGCTAATCTATTGACATTTACTGAGAGACAAATCCCATCTTTGAGCAATTTAGAGTGTCTAATGAACTTGAATGTCTTTGGACTGTGAGAGGACACAGACACGAGGGCTGACACAACAACAAGGCTGGGCCTGAGTGAACTGTTCTTTCTTGTCTTATGCTAAACTAAAAGTCTCAAGAATTGAAACAAGCTGGCCTGGGTTAAATGTTTTATGGGTACAACCTTCCTGGACCTCAAAGAGCTTCAGCTACAACACAGTAAAGAAAAAGTGTACACAATACCAGTACACATCAATAAAAGTTATGGAGTACTCAAGGAGTATTCAAAGAAACTAAAGGGAAATAAATAAGAACAGCATCAGATTGAAAAGATGTGAGAGAAGTGGCTCTGACAAAAACCCTTCAGAATCAGGAGAAAGCCAGAGAAAAAAGGTAGGTCTTCAAATTAGATTAGAAGTTCTCAATGGTGCGGTGGAACTTGTTAGATGAAAGACTATTTCAAAGCCTGGGGGCAGCAACAGAAAAGGCCCGGTCACCTTCAGTTGTACGGTGTGATGATTCAGTGATTAATGTAAACAGCTGCACAAAGCTGCTTCAAAAAATACTAAGTTATGAAGCAGGTTTTCCCTACTGTACCATAACGGCCTGCTACACATAACATACAACTACACACACACACACACACATACATACATACACCTACACATAACATACAACTACACACACACACACACATACATACATACACCTACACATAACATACACCTACACACACACACACACACACACATACATACATACACCTACACATAACATACACCTACACACACACACACACACACACACACACACACACAAACATGCCTACTCCCACGTACATACACACACACACACACACACACCCACATACATACGCCTACACATAACATACACCCACCGCACACATGCAAATTTGGGCTGTCCATGGTTGCCAACTGGTAGTTGCCTTGTTATTCATGCTTTTCATGAGTTTATTATTTAAACTAATTGTCATTATTTCACTTCCAATTGCTGCACTGGGTTGTTTTGTTTTTTCTGCCTGAATGTTTTGTTTCCCCCCAGTAGTTTTCTTTTCAGTGCTGTTTGTTGCTGTTGTTCGGCTGGTTGTCTCCTGTCTTTTTTTCTTCCCCATACCCCCCTTAAGTTCACAACTTTGAGCTGTGTAATAATAATATAATAATAATAATCTTTATTTGTAGAGCACTTTTCAAAAACAAGTTACAAGTGCTTTAACAAGTGTAAAGACAATAATACCCAAAAGACAATAATACAAAAACAATACAAGATAAAAAAAAAAGATGTACATTGTTGTAATTCTTTATATTATTATTTATTATTATTTATTTATATTATTTATATTGTGAATTTTTGCATTATTATTTATTTATTATTTTGTATACTTGCACATTTTTAATCTCTTTACTATGTTTATATTTCTATATTTATGTTTATGTGTACTGTTAGGCACCAATATATACCATGGCAAAAAATGTCATTTTGATTCTGATTCTGAATAGGCCAAAGTTTTTGGGAAATACTCACTTATCCATAGTCAGGTCATGGTTAGCTTAGCTTAGCATAAAGACAAGAAGCAGGGGTAAAAAAGCTTGCTTGGCTCTGTCCAAAGTCCTGTTCGGTCTGATGACTATTTGTCCATAACTGACGTCTCCTGCTCCTCTCACTGCTGAGTAGACTGCAGCTGGATCACTCTCTGGAAAACAAAACACATACAAATTGCATTACCGCTGTTACTACAGAAGATACCAGTACTGTTAGTATATTTACTGTTGTTACTACTTCTGGTATATTTACTGCTAGTGTTAGTAGTACTACTAGTACTGCCAAACATGCAATAATACGACTGCTGTAGAAACAATTTCATTATTTTTCATGTAGAATTATATTGAGGTTTGACAGCTTTCTTTTTCTTTACACTGTGAAAGGTTAAAGACCAAATATAACTGGAGGGTATTTATCTGAACGAGGGAACTAGATGGCCACAAAGCTGCTCGCTTCTGTTAAAACAAGTTCACACATTTCAGCACAAGGCACAAAGAGACAGACACATCACCATCAGCTAAAGCAGATCACACTATAGTGAGAAACCACCAGCTTCACACCACAGTTCACTAGAATCAACAGGAGGAAGTTAGAGTACAGACTCACAACCAAGTGTCTTTGTTCTGTTGAGTCCATCTTCTTTTTTATTTAAATAATTTATATAATCATTATTTACCTTTAAACAAACATCAATAAAACTGTTTGAGTAAAACAGTAGATGTTACACAGATATATAATCCTGCAGATTTATAATTTATTTAATACATTCCTGCAGTGAAACATGTGAAGAGCCATTTTCAGATGTTTTTATTAACAGTAAACAGGGCAACCACAGAGTTGTTATGTCCTGTTAAAAGATTCACCACAGGGCATAAAACAGACTCACATTCAACACACATCATCATCAACAAAAACGTTGTGGAGTAAAAACGATTTAACTTGACTAAGTTGCTGTTTTAGAAACATTTATAAAAACAAATCAAATATTGAGTAAAACACATAACAGTACAACAGTCCCCACATTTTTGATATACTGTTTGTGAGCAGAATGCAGACACATAAATCTGCACATTTATAACTGATTATATACCTATAATTATTTGTTTTATTAACAGTCCTGCAGTGAAACATGCAGAGCCACATTGCAAGATGGCGTCGCTCACGGCTGCCATGGTATTTTAGTGCACTCTGTTTGTTTTGTTTATGTTTGTTAACTTTGCATTCTGCTGTGATACCCACAGCTCAGAGAAGAGCTGTTAAACATCAGGGGAACAACACCTGCAGATTTGATTCCAACTTTTCTCGTGTCATCAGTGGAATCACTGGACATTCTGGTCAAGATTTCACTTTCCGCTGTTCATGTGGTCCAACGTGCGCTCACTGTGCAATAAAATGGATGAATTTCAGCTACTGGTGGGGAAAAACAGACTTTTATTCATCTACTATTCTACTTTCCTTGTGAGTTTGTTGTTGCTACTTTCTGCTCTGTGTTTAGATTCCACCGCAGGCCAACATGCACAATGCACAGCACACGCTAGCCGACCAGATACTGTGGGTAGAGTGGAGATTCCCAGACTCCTTAGTTATTATTGTTGGTGACTTTAACAAAGGAAACATCAGCCATTAACTCCCCAAATACAGACAGTTCATAAAGTGTCCAATGAGAGAAGAGAATATTTTGGATCACTGCTACACTGCAGTAAGTCACTCTGACCACGTCATGGTCCACCTGATTCCTGCATACAGGCAGAACATAAAGCTCTTTAAACCTGTGGTGAAGACATCAAAGAAGTGGACCAGTGAAGCTGTAGAGGACCTTCAGGCATGTTTGAATGTTTTCAGGACTGCTACCAACAATCTGGACGAGTATACAGAGGCTGCGACGTCCTACATCAGCTTCTGTGAGGACAGCTGTGTACCAACACGCACCAGGGTGAGTTATAACAATGACAAACCCTGGTTCACAGCTAAGCTCAGACAGCTGAGTTGGAAAAGGAAGAGGCTTTTAGGATCACCACTGATTGGTCACAGACCACCATCTCATCCCCCTCTCTTACCATCCTCGAGAGTGATGTCAGCAGACTGTTCAGGAGGCAGAAACCCCGCTCCCCATCCACCCTGAAGCACTGTGCTGATCAGCTGTCTCCAGTATTCACAGACATCTTTAACACCTCACTAGAGACATGCCATGTTCCAGCCTGCTTCAAAGCCTCCACCATCATCCCTGCCCCCCCCCCAAAAAATGACCACTGGACTAAATAACTACAGATCCGTCGCCCTGAGTGTCTGTTTCCTCAACTCCTCTCTCCTCGCGTCTCCTCCTCCACTCCTCGAGCTCGCATCTCGGGCTCAATGACTAATGCTGCGTTTTAGGCAACTCGGAACTGGGAAATTTCTTACCTCCAACTAGAAAAAGCACTCTGAAACGCTACTTGAAGTCAGATTTCCCACACATGTGAGGTGGATTATCTCGGCTCACTAACACAGGTTTTGACAGATTTGTGAACAATATTTGAGAGAAACAGGCCTTTTGTGCACATACAGAAAGTCTTAGATCTTTGAGTTCAGCTCATGATGAATGCGGGCAAAAACAAAAGTGTTGGGTTTATAATTTTGTTCAGTGTAAATATATCATATTTACCTGGAAACATCAGATGGTGGTTTCACTGACCTTCTGAGTTTGTCGAAGGTCAGCAGGTAATTATATTTACTATAGATGATTTTGTTTCTCTGAAGCTGAGTGCTGTGACCAGAATTTAACCAATGACAAAAACACATAATTAATAAATTACTGTGTACTGGCCTGTCAGTGCTTAATTCAGGGAAATGATGTAAGTTTGAAACCAACACCATGTTGTTTCCCCTTCTAGCTCAACCAACTACAGAGGAACTATCGGGGGAAACAGCAGATGTGAGTCACAGTCACAGTGATTCAGTTTAGACGTCATATGGAACCACATTTTAGCATTTAGCAGTGAATCACTGAGATCATTTCCTTTCTGTCTCCCTGTGAGCAGCAACAAGATAAACTTAAAAATAAGTTTAAAAATAAGATAAACTCGTCTCCTCCCTCATGATACAGACTGCAGCATTTCTCATGTGCTTCAAATATAAAAAGTGTAAACATCAGTAATAACAAATATATACACTTTGTCGTTGTGCAATTATAAACAGTTGTGCAACTGATGAATTATATACATGTGGAAACTGCATGGAACAGTGTGCAGATGTGCAGTAACAGTGCAATTAACATGTCATGGTACAGTGTAAGATGGGCATGACATGGAGTCCACATGCCTATTAACTGTTTAGTAGTCTGATGGCAGTGGGGAAGAATAAGATCTTCAGTCTTGTAGTCCTACATTTCACACTTCTGCACCTCCGACCTCAGGGTAGAAGTGTGAACAGTTCTGGTCGGGGTGGGTGGGATCCTTGATAATGGAGGCAGCTCTCCTGTGGCCTGTGATGGTAGATGCTCTGCAGGGAGGGTAATGCAGTCCTGGTGATCTTCTCAGCTGTTCTTCACCACACGGTGATGCAGCTGGTCAGGATGCTCTCAACAGTGCACCTGTAGAAGCTGGTGAGGATCTTAGGTGCAGCTGCTGCTGAGCCTTCTTGACCAGCTGTGTGGCGTTCACTGTCCAAGTGAGGTCGTCGCTGATGTGGACACCCAGATATTTAATGCTGCTCACCCTCTCTACCTCAAGCTTCCAGCTGAACAGTGGCTGACGAGGTCTCCTCTCCTTCCTCATGTCCACTGTTACCTCCTTCGTCTCGTCAGTATTAAAGGTGAGGTTGTAGTCCTCGCACCACGCCACCAGGCTGGCAACCTCACTTAAACTTTGAACTCTGTCTCATTGCCTGATGTAAATGCAAGAGAGCGAGCACGCAGTATGTGACTGTTTATACAGGGCTTCTGGTTGGGGAGCTTCCTGACTTGTAGTGTGGGCACAATGCTGACAACACAGGTGCTGATGTACCCAGTCACATACTCAGGCCCCATCCACACTACTCTGTTGTAGAAACGGAGAATTAAAAAGAACACCAGCGTTTTAGCTGCGTGTCAGAGTTGATCTCTTTCTATGCTAAAACGACTGAAAACGCATCTAGTGGCCGTTCAGGTACACTGGGCATGTGCAGATGATCTCTCTCTTCCATAGTTACAGAAGATTTGGCGAAAAAAATAAAGTAATGCAGAAGAAGAATCAGACCAGATTTTTTTTTTGCACGGGCCAATAACAAGCTGGGACTGTTACCGAATGTAACACAGGAGTTTAAAGGCTGTGGCGGCGGAAAACAGCCTGGGAGTCGTCGCAAAGTAAACGGCGACATGCACAGTACAAATGTAGGCAGATTAGTGTTATTTGCACGTTACAGAATGTTTTAATAAAAATACCAAGTCAAAAACCCGGTCAGCAGCACCGTGTTTCTGCTTTGCATGACTTATAAGACCCAATTAGAGAGCCAAGCGTGAGCAACTGTGTCATCGTTTCTAAATTCCTCCACATCTTCACTGAAACGCTCTCTAGAGTTTCAAAACAAAAAAACAAGGTCGGCAGCGTTTCCAAACTTCTCCGTTTTCGCCGTTTTAGTCTGGACAGGAGATGCTAACGTAGCGAAAGGGCTCCGTTTTAAAACGAAAACATAGAAGTGTGGATGGGGCCCCAGCGCAGTCCTGTATGCTGACAGAAGTGTCCTCCTGAGTGGCTGCTGCCAGAAACACAACCCAGTCTGTCTGAGCAAAAAAGTCCTGCAGGGTGCTCTCAGTCTCTGGAGTCCAGAGTTTGGCTTGTTTGGTGGCAGGGTTTGTTTGTTTCACTCTTGTGTCAGATGTGGTCTGAATGTCCAAAGTGGGGGCAGGGTGCAGCTCTGTATGCACCACGTATATTGCTGTAAACATGACCCAGAGTATTCTTTCCATGGGTGTGAATGTCTATGTGCTGGTAGTATTTAAGGAATATAGTCTAGGTTGCACAGTTTCTAACGTGCTGATAGTGTTGTGGAGACTGCTGAGTGTTTTCTGGGATGCTATCTGAGAGCCAGGTTTCGGTGAAAATTAGAGTGCAGCACTCTCTTATTTCCCATTGGACTGTAATCCTGGTTCTGAGCTCTCTAGGTCGGAGAGGGAGTAATGGAGGATATATATATATA